CCAATATTTTAAACTGTTTCGTAAACCAAATGATGAACTAAGTTATATTCATGTTGATTCCCATCACCCTTCTAGCATTTCAAAGCAACCTTCTCATTCTACAGAATTAAGGCTGTCAGCTAATTCATCTAATGAAACTATTTTTCAAAACCAATTAGTATCAGGAACTTATTTATATTCTTAATTATAAAACTTATCCAACCTCTATCAAAAAACTGCAAGCGCAATATAATCTGGTTTAACCCCCCATGTAGTAAAAAATGTTTCTACCAAAATTGGTTAACTCTTTTTTGATTTAATATACAAGCACTTCCTAGTTGGCCATAAATACCCCAAGATTTTTAATAGAAATACTTTAAAGGTGAGTTACAGATGAATGCCAAATAAACATTGCAATTGTATTATTAAAAGCAAGTAAACTTTAAATCAACAGGAAATTGTAAATAACATAGTGTATCAAGCCACTCTATACCTAGGCACTCTGGACGGGAATAAAAAAGTGTATTTAGGAGTAAGTGAAACCACATTCAAACATATTTACGCTAATCATACAAAATATTTTAATATCGAAAAATTGAATTATCTAAGGAAGTATGGTTAAAAGAAAGTGGAGTAAACCTGACAATTGAATGGAAAATTGTAAAACGTCATAGATCATACAATCCCACGATAAACCGATGCAACCTATGTCTATATAAAAAGTATGTCATAATATCTTACACCAATTATAACTTATTAAATAAGAGCAATGAATTAGTGTCTAAATGTAGACATAAATGTTTGTTCTTGCGAAATTTGACAAGGGTGATTCGGAAGCCGTTTTTAGATTTTTTTTTTTTTTTTTTTTTTTCGTTTGGAAAATAGTACTACCAAATTGTACCATAAATGTTTTTTGTTCAAATTTCAATTTCACTACTGAAGTTTTATATTTTTTAAAAGTTTAATATTCAATCTTAACTATAATGTAGGAATTTTACTTAATTTTTTGTAAAAAGATCATTTTTGAAGCCCTACCGTTTCATATTTTTGAAAATTTTCAATTTAAACTTATTTGCATCATAACTTCAAAAGTTATTTTCTATAAAACTTTTTATGAATAAGTATAAAGTATTATATAATTTTGAAAGCATCATGTTATGGAGATTTTAGAACAAATTCATTTTTTTAATTATATGGTTTTGTTTACAAATAATTAATTTAACTATAAAATAAAAAAAGAAAAAAAAAATCTTAAAGTTCACTGATAATTTTGGCAGTCACCAACACTTCCCGACGCTTTATTTTTATAATTAATTAGTAGTTTAGGTGTCTATAAAAATGATTTATTAAAAATCAGGTGCGGATACGTGCGGTTTATAAAGTTACAGATAAAAAAGTAATAAAAGTCAGAAAACAAAAAACCGCTTTTTATCGTGGTTTCAGACTATTTGTTTATAACAAAAGTTTTTTTGTCTGATTTTTATTGAGAATTAATTTTGATGGACATACATTCAATTATTTTTGAATTTTGTGGTGAAAACTTTATCAGCAATTTATGAACACAGCGTCATTTAAAAAATATTATATAAAGAGTTGAAATATTTATATAACTGCAACAAATTCACAGTGGAAATTAAATACTTTTTAAAATGACAACTTTTAAGTGTTCGAAGCGTCACCTGTTACTTTCCTATATTGATGGAGGAAGAACAACAGAGATACTATCAATAATTTTAAAAGAAAATTATCAAGTTTCTCAGGATAGCTTGTGTTTCATTGTTAGTGATATTTAAGGAAACATTCCGTCATTTAATAAACAATGGACCAAGGTGTCACGAAAAGTGGACGCTTTTTTATCTAACAACAGTAATTGGTTAGATTCGGAATATAGTGTATTTTTAACAAAATCGAAAAACGCAATATCAGACCCCACGCCATCTACATCATTCGAAAAACAAGGAAGACCGTGCAAATATAATAGAGATTTGTCAGTGACCAGGAGAAGAAACAGAAGAAAGATTGTGAATAGGAATAGGAGAAGAAACAGAAGCAAAGATTGTGAAACAATAAGGATTTTTGAAAAAGAAAAAAAGGTCTCTGTCTCGAGTTTTATTGAAAACACAAACATTTTACTGACAGATGAAGAAACACTCAGCGTGTTAGTTGATTTAGATTTAACTAAAGCACAATATTTATACTTGAGGATGTTGACAGACGAAAAAAAATTGTAGATGAAATAAAAGCCAAATATACTCTTTACAGCCATCTATAATTAATAAAAGTTGTAAAGGAATACAAGTGAAACATGAACTTTTTTTAACAATGATAGATGGAAAAGTGGCTCAGGTATTAACGGATACGCCTTCTGCGTCTACTGGAGCTACTCCACGACAAATGAATGATTTGACTAAAGTGTCTGCTTGGCCTGAAAATGAAAGTTCATATCAATTATGGACTGTCGACATTACATGCCTGGATTCGGTGTATGGAAATGATATAACATATTTCCTACAACCTGTCT